TGTGTCAGTATAATTGGTATTCGCTTGTCTTGCCGGTGGAGAAGGAACCAGACTGGTACTTCCCAGAATAGAAGGAGGCTTGGTTAAAAAAAAAAAAAGAAAAAAAAAAAAGGCTCAAGACCACCAATAGATGGAGTGGCCACTAACCGGCCTACTCGGGGAGATTGCAGATGGTTTTGTGTGGCAAGAAAAAGACTGTCACGCAACTACTGAGAATTGATTACCAGGCCGACTGGCATAAAGTGCTCAAGCGTATCAAGGACGATCCCGACAAGGAACAAGTCATCATAAATACATTCTGCAAGGACAGCCTGGGATCTGGCAAACTGGGGAGCATAGAAGGTGATGATGGTCTGAGGCTCGTGTGGAAACTCACAGGGGGACCTTAAGGACACTGGGACAGAGAAAGGACTGCCTCACCGGGACCGGTTCAATCGCAGGAACCAGCCCTCAGCCTCAACTCCGGCTAAGCAACCGGCTATCTGGAATAGAGACAGACCAGGATTAGACGCCGTAGCAATGCCAGTAGTAGGGGGGACACGGTGTGCTGCTCTAGTAGAGAGAGAGAGAGAGAGAGTAAACGTCAACAGCCCACAAGCTGAGAGGCGGAGCCACGAGGTTAAAACACTATTGTCTTCACCCGAATAGAACGCTCGGTCATTATAGTAGCTGTATTTGGCACAACTTTCAGCACAGATACGGCGATAATTACCGGGCGTTCTATTCGGGTGAAGACCGTAGGGTTTAGGGTTTAGGGTTTAGCTAAGAACACACAGTCGAAAAACCTAACTTAGGGTTTAGGGGAGTCCAATTGCTATACTTAGGGTTTAGGGTTTCTGCATCCATCGAGGACTGTCCCTCCAATTGCTATAGTTGGAGGAGCCCACAAGCTTAGAGGGTGCCTGCAGTCAGGAATGGAGGGACAGTCCTCGATGGATGCAGAAACCATGTCATCGCAGTGATTGTGACAGAGACGATGGCGGCTACAGCCGCATGTGTCCGTGTTTGCAGTTGTGCAAAGGAGAAGGGTGCACAGTGTTGGTACATTGTCCTGCTGCAGCACGGGGACAGAGGCATGATCGTCGACGTAATTAAAGAGATTGCAGATGGTTTTGTGTGGCAAGAAAACAGCATCCTTATGGAAGACATCAGACCATGATGCCGTTGTCCCACAGATCCCAGTAGTCAGAGCGGTATGTACAATGGTCATCTAATGGCCAGGTCGGAGGTCCGCGTGCCATGCAGGCAAAGATGTGGCATTGAGGATTAAACCACTCACCTGCTTGAACATTGCGCAGTTCAAGTTGTTGTTGGTATCCGTAATTACTCCCCTTGTAAGACAGAAGAGGTAAAGCCTCTTTTTTCCCTGGTATAATTATAATTCTCTCATTCCTCTGGCTGTACCTGGGGAAGATCAACATCAAGCTGACGGGCGATTGCAAGGAAGTTTGGCGGTGTAGTATGAAACGTACAGCGGAGAATGTGAAGACAGGTATTAGTTGCAGTCAGACCACAGAGATTGGCGGGGATCTCAGGCTGGTGTGGTGCCGAACGCTGGCCAACGATTTGCAGATCACCCAGATGGTGTTGCAAGCCCAAATTGTCATTTTTTGCAGGTCATGTGGTGGGACAGAAAATTTTGCTGTCCATCCAAATGATGCTGGTCAGCCATTTATATAAACAATCAGTAAAAATGTGCAGGTTGCTTCTCCCTCTTCTTCCTCAGGATCCCTCCTCTCCTGCCACCTCAATGTACACTCTTATCTACTGGCTAGCTTTTCTACACTCCCCCGACAAACCAGACGCAGCGTAACTCTCGGAGGAACCTCTCCCTACTGTCTTCACACAAATAGAACGTTCGGCCGTTATAGCTGTATCTGAGTCGACTTTCCGGCCATTCTACTCGGGGAAGACGGTAGTGCTGGCCTATCTGAGGCTACCGTGTGTTCACTCGAATAAAACGTGCGGTCATTATAGTGGTATTTAGGACAACTTTGAGTCTAGGTACAGCAGCAATGACCGTCCGACGCACGTTGTATTCGGGTGAACACAGGAGCGCATCAATGTGGCAAAGTGAAATAACGATGTGTTTCTTCTGAAACAGCATCGACGCTCCTCCTTCAACCATGACCACATTGCCACCCTGAAGCTACGGAGACCTTCCTCTCATCCCTTGAACCCTTGATCTCACCAACAAACACCACTGCCACACGCTTTCTCTATAGCACAAGTGCCAACAGAATGAAGTCTTGGAAGATGAAAAAAGGCCGCTCTCTCCTCCTCTTGGGAGTTCTCATCTTCAGGCCGCTACGGCCGACCATTGACGAAGAAGGGTTGTCGAAAGGAAGACGAACCTGACCTGTTACTTTCTCGATTGCAGAAGCGCCAACAGAATGAAGTCTTGACACATGAAAGTCGACCGCTCTCCTGGTTTTGGAGTTTACATCTTCAGGTGGCCACGGACGCCCGCCTAGAGGCAAGCTTCCTCTTCCGTCTTGACAACCCTTCTTCAATGGCGGTGAGTAGGTTACTTCCTCCTTCCAATCTCCACGACAGACCCTCCTCGGCAAGGCGAGGCGCCGTGCCGAGGAGGGTGGCCTTCGACGGAGAAGAGGAGGGTGGTCTTCGACGGAGAAGAGGAGGGTGGTCTTCGACAGAGAATATGACAAGCGCGTGCAACCACTGGGCTACTTCTCTGTGGCAGCTTAACTTCCTCCTTCCAATGTCCACCACAGACCATCCTCGGCAAGGCGCCAGACTCACATCAGTCAGCACGATCACCTCTAAGTCTTCAATGGAGAATGATGAGCACATACAATGTGGCATACTGCGTAGCGACACGGGGCTGCAGGGCCCGTCCTGCATCTCCAGCCTAAAAGCCTAGAAATAAGGGCTTACAGGCCCCTGTCGTTTCAGCCTGAAAGACTGAAAAACGAGGGCCTGCAGGCCCAATGTCGTTTCAGCCTAAAACAGGGCTTTTCAGCCTGAAACGGAGGGCCACTTTCGGGCCCTCATAAGATCGACCTACCCTAAGACTCAGGCACAAAAACAGGGTTTCGGGAACAGGCTATTTCTGGCCTGTTCCCCACGACAGCCTCAAGCAGGAGCTGCAGCGGCAGCCCCTGACTCCCTTCAGCATTGGCAAGAGCAGCCTCCTGGACTGCCTCGCCCTGCAGCCAGGAGGTACCCGAGTAGTACATAGGAAGTTCCCATGCACTTCACGGGTAGGTAGTTGGACAGTAGGCACGAGTAGTCTTCAGGATTCAGCCGCAGCACTCAGGAGGAGCGCTGCAGTAGTAGTTAGCACTAGCAGTAGTCTTCAGCGCTGGGCGCTCATAGCTGCAGGAGTAGTCTTCAGCGCAGGGCGCTAGTAGCTGGTAGTAGTAGCATTGGAGAGAGATGGCTGGCGGAGGCCAGCGGTACTTACCTGTGGCGCCATAGCTCCAGCTCCATCTTCGAGGTACCTGCATCAAGGCGCCAACTTCACAGGTTAGTAAACTTAGTACTGGACACAGAGAGAGAGAGAGAGTTCTTCTTCTTCCTCTTCTAAGTCCACCATCTCTTCTTCACCCTCTCACCACCTGACTTCTCAGTATCCGCAGACTACTACAGAGAGAGAGAGAGTTGTGACTTGAGACTTGGCGACATTGGATCCAGACTCGACATTGGGATTCAGACATTTTGACGAGGGACTATTTGGGCCTGTGCCGAAGACTTGGTGTTGACGACATTCCCGTCTTCCCCTCTTCTTCGTCTAACCCCCTGCTTCTTCGTCTGTGTATGGTTGGGGCTGGCGCAGTCTTCCTGTGTGAGCGCCAGACCCCTTCACACCATGGAATGATGATGATGATGTATGTTCCGGGCTGCATTGCAATATTGATTGTTCGGATCATTGGTATCTAATTCTTCCGCTACGCTATCTTGTCCTTTGTATTGAGAGGTCAGTTCTTGTTCTGGTCTGCACTGTTACAGTATGCAACAGTTTGGTATCGGAGCGGACCTCTCATTCAGAGGACCCGCTCAATCAAGTAGCCAGCTTGCTTGATCTATTGATCACTCATTAGTAAATCAAGTAGGACTTCGTCAAATCTCTGAAAGTTTTTTTATTTTCTCGCAACAACGATCTGAAAATTTCTGATAAATCGCATTTCGTTTTGTCTGAAAATTCCCGATAGTAGCATTTCGTTTCTCTGATATTAGCATACATAGCTGAAAATTTCTGATGTTAGTATTTCGTTTTCTAGGCATATTGGGATAACGGAAACCGGAATTATTCTTTTCTGAAAATCGAATTTCCATTCTATCTGGCAATTTTTTTTTAAAACCGAAATCTTGCGAAGCCTACCAACATTGCGATAGGCATATTCGGAGGTTGCCATATTCTCAGAAACTGGATTTAGTTCTTTTCTGAAAATCGCATCTCTACTCTATTTCGCAAATTTTTTTTTTTCAAGATCGCAATTTTGTGAAAGCCGAAACTTYGCGGAACCTAGCCTAGATCTCGTTCATACTACTCTTCTGACATGTCTCTCTCATAACAGATCGACAGATATACAAAAAAAAAAAAAAAAAAAAAGTAGTCCTGTTTTATTTTTTTATTTTATCTGCTGTTGATTAGGGCCGGGAGGAAAGTATTGTTGGGTTAGTTCCCTACCTGCGTCTTCCCTCCCCACCCACCCCCTTTGCATGCATTTCCGAGTTGGTACAATGCCACGTCAGCAGTGCCATGTCAGCAACAGTGTCACGTCAGCAGTGCCACATCAGCAACAGTGCCATGTCAGCAGTGCCATGTCAGCAACAGTGCCACGTCAGCAGTGCCATGTCAGCAGTGCCACGTCAGCAACAGTGCCATGTCAGCAGTGCCATGTCAGCAACAGTGCCACATCAGCAGTTCCACGTCAGCAGTGCCACGTCGGCAACAGTGCCACGTCAGCAGTGCCACGTCAGCAGTGCCACGTCAGCAGTGCCACGTCGGTCACAGTGCCACGTCTGCAGTGCCACGTCAGCAGTGCCACGTAAGCAGTGCCACGTAAGCAGTGCCACGTAAGCAACAGTGACACGTCACAGTGCCACATCAGCAGTGCCCCGCCACCATGACGGGCGCAGCCCTGGGCATGCCAGGCCAACTGGCCAACGAGTCTACCGCCGACTACAAACAGCAGTTCCAGACTCAGCTCACACTGATCGAGGCTGAGGAACAGCGCCAGCTGGCAGCCGAGGCTGCCCGCCTACAGGCTGAAACAGCGGCAACAACTGAGAAGCAGCGGCTTCAGGCCGAAGCAGATGCAGATACCCAAGCACGCCGAAAGGAAGCCCAGGATCTGTTGCAGCGGCATGAAGCCGCCAGCATCGAAAGACTCAAGTATTGGCATTTTGAACCATCTGAAGGACACGACGACGCGACACCGGAAGAGCAACACAGGGAATTCATGGCCAAACTCGTGACTCGGTTGGTTTACACTTGTAACCACCTGCAGTCCGAGCTGGCAAACCTCCAGCGGGCCGTGCGGAACCACAAGGCTCAACACGAGGATGCAGCACAGGCACTCGACTCCCGTGTACAGGACTTGGAGCAAACTGCACCAAGACCGGAGGCTGGTGAGTCCAGCAGTGCACCCTCAACCCGCCAACTGGAGCAACGCGTCGATCACGTAGTGGCAATGCTAGGTGACATCAGCACCTTCGCGGCGCCTGCCACCATCAGCCAGCAGCTGGACACACTGAAGACCGAGATCAGGCAGCAATAACAGCCGTTTGACCCCGATCGCGGCACCAGCACGGCGAAGCATTACAAAATGCCGAGGTTCCGGATCGAGAAGTTCGATGATTACACACATCGGGACCCGGTCGTCTGGTGGCAAGGTTTTACAACAAAGTTGGGGATTCATGAGGTCCCCAAACATCTGTTCATCGGCGCACTGTTCCTTAACGTCAAGGGAGGATGCCAGATCTGGCTCAGCCATATGGCAACCATCCACGGCGTCGAGGTCTTCGACCTACACACGAAGGTCTCCTGGGAGGATCTGACAAAGGAATGGAAGAAGCGGTTCATCGTTGACGACGCCCCGACGCTCGCCATCAACCGCATCTTCACGATGGCTCAAGGAAACACAGCGACACGTGATTGGCTCATGGATTGGCAGAAGATCGTGGCGACGCCCAATCTGGACTTACCATTTTCGCATCTGCGCCGGGAGTTCTACAACCGGTCATGCGCCGCTTCGAGACTAGCACTTGGTGATCGCGAGCCGTACAACACCTTCGCTGAAATCATCAACAAGGCGAGGGAGATCATCAAGACCGACAGGGCGGCTGCATACGAGAAGTCAACGTGGCAGCCAACCTATGTGGAGAAGGTGAAAACTGGTCCGCGTCCGCAGCAGTTCGCTGCAGTCCAATCGGACAACATTGTGGAAGACCTGGCAGCCACCCAAGCATCACGTGAGGGTATAGGGTTGGCCGAGACCTGCCAGTAGTTGTGCCTCCCTTTCTCATCGTCCCCCACCCTTCATCGAGTAGCCTCATCTCATCTGTCTCATTTTTCTTGCTAGTACTCATCTATCTCATCCTCTCACTAGTGTATGTGTAGTACGGGGGAACACCAAGCAACCCCGATCTCTCCCCAGCCCACGGGGTAGGTTGGCACCACAGCAGTGGTGCGAGAGCAAGGCTGTACCAGTCCCTCATCACGGTGACCAGGGGTGGGCAGGCATTGCCGATGGGGGAAATCGGCGGTGCTAGCACCGAGCAATGGCCAGTCACTGCACCTCCCCCTACCCCGGCCCAAACCCCACATGGCGGTGTCTAATGGCCAATATTGTCGCTGCATAGCAACCAACAACATCAACCATTCACAAGTCCCGTGGAAGGAAGACCATCGACCCAACGAAAAGCGGCAAATGGACTGCAGGCTGACACCACAGACCCTGAATTCCTTTACGAATGATTTACCCCCTCCTCCCCGGGTCCCTGCTATGCCTGTGATTTTCCCTGCGTGTCTCTCCAGACAGTTCTGTGCAATCGCCGGTCTGCCGCCGTCCTGGCTGCGCCCCCACGCCCTAGCGTGGTATCAGTATGCTTATTCTCGCTACAAGATGGGACAACCATGGGCGTATACTAGGATTTTCTAGACAGAATCTGGCCCTAAGTGCAGTTAGATGCACTGGGAAAAGTTGGAATGTGAGCTTGCTCTACAGCAGATTCATACTATTGTACGCATGAGATGAGGTTGTCGAAATGATCTCAATTGGTGGATGTTTTTGGCTGTGTGAATGGCCTGGTGAACAGAGAACAGTGGAAGAGCGATTTCACACCTGTTTTGGTTGTCTAGTATTGCAAGCTGTGGTCATTCACTAGTCTGAACCTGGGTGAGTAGTGCGGCGATGCACGTAGGGCCTCGATCGATTGCTTAGTGAGACTATTGATAGAGTTATTATGTGATGAATGGGATTATTGCCAGTATGTTACGGATATTATTAGTACTACTGTAATACTAGTACTACTGTAATAGCAATAGTAATAGTCATACAGCGGTAGTATTGGTAATAGCACTATTGTATCACTATCAGTATAATGAGAGAATGAGAGACAGACAAGCAGGCAGACACACACAGACAGACAGAGGCAGACAGACAGACAGAGACAGACAGACAGACAGACAGACAGACAAACTGACAGACAGACAGACAAACAGATAGACACAGAGAGGGAGAGAGAGCGCATGCATAAAGAAGACCATAGGCGACACAGAGAAAACAGAGGAAGAGAGAGAGGGGTGAGGTTGATGACGTGAGGGCACGTACCTGGTCTTGGCAATGGTCTACAGGGGTCGACATCATCATGTACTCCGGTTCTGCTGCTGACGTCAACTGGATGAATTGTCAATTCGTAGGCTGCTAGTATGTTGTGTGGTCGTAGACTGGGCACTGAGTACCAAGTAGGGGGAAGAGCTCTGGATACATATGTTGGTGATGGAGAGAGTATGCTCTCATAGACAGTCGGATTCAGCGTTTGGTTCTCCGTTGGTGGAATATTAGTGCATTACTGCTTTCTGGACAGTGACGGACTTCCGGGCTTTCACTGTGATTTTGTCATCTGAAATCTGTAATTTTTTCTCCTTACATTATTAATCTTATTATTATTATTATTATAATAATACGTATTATTATTACGTAGTATTACTAGCACTACAGTAGCTTGTGGCCCCAACGAGCCTCGTGGGCGCCCTAAGTGAAGGCGGGTCTGAATACCCACGAGAGGCCCCTACCTCAGCATTTTCCAAAATGGGTCTCAGACAGTTGTTGCACGTTAGTTGGTTGAAGTACAGCCTGGGCCTCACCCTGGGCTCTTCCAAAAGAAGCAGCTGCGTCAGGCAGCTGAACCCAGGACGTGGGTTGTTGTGCCCTGGGCACACGCAGTGTGAGGACGACACATCACGAAGTGGCCATGAGCCAATCAAAATGCAGCATTGTCGTCACGTCCGCCCCCCGCACCGATGCAAAACACAACAAACATGCAAAACCTGGATAATCTGGTGTGCCCAACTGTAAAGGGCCCGGGCCCTCAATTGTAGGCATGGGCCTGGGCGCAGACGCTGGGGCCCGGCCAGAAGCTACTGGATACTTCCACGACCAGGCCCTGGTCTAGGCTGCGCGCAAACGTTGAGTGGTGTGGGGGCAGCAGGACAGCAGGGCGCTACCAGCCATATCCAAACTGCAAGACGCAAGGAGGTGATGAACGGCGGTGGTCTCGAGGAAGGAGGCGCAATATGAATGGAGAAGGGTGATGAAAGGAGGCAGAGATGCATACTTGGAGTATGTGGGAGATCGTGGGGGCAGCAGGACAGCGGGGCACTAGCAGCCATATCCAGACTGCAAGACGCAAGGAGGTGATGAAACGGCGGTGGTCTCGAGGAAGGAGGCGCAATATGAATGGAGAAGGGTGATGAGAGGAGGCGGAGATGCGTACCTAAAGTATGTGGGAGATCGACATTGGTGTTGGCGTCATGTACACTGATCTGCGAAGTAGAAGTGAGCCTGTTGCAAGAACGTAGGTGGGATAGGTAGGCTGAATAGAGTAGACTGGGCGTCAAACAGTGGGAGCGGCATTGAATACAACGATGGAGTGACTTCAGGATTTGGACATTGGCTCACAAGGTCACTATATTGCTCTTATTTATATGGAATCTAGGTGCATTTGAACTCTCTACTTATAACATGACTATCAGGACTTCTGCATGATTATTGTAACTTCGTTTTCTGTATATCGCGCTTACTCAGATTCCTTGCATTATTATTATTATTATTATTATTATTATCACTATTTTTATTAGTTTTATTATTTTTATTTTTATTCTTATTATTCTTATTATTATTTGTTGTTATTGTTTATTCTAATCTGATTGCTAACACAATCAGATATATGCATGTCAACCCTGTGTATGGCTAGAGCCATGGTCGACTTCACGCACGCTAGGCGAAAGGATATGGAGATGAAATGAAAAGGCAGAAAGAACAAAAGAAGGGAGGAAACAAAAAAGAGAATGAAGAAAGAGAGAAAATATGAGAAGAATGAGGAAGACAAAAAAATAAAGACACGAAATAGGAGACTACTTGTAGCCAATTAGGTTATATGGTATTCGCTTGTGGTATCTCCAATTATTCAATTATTTCACTAGGGCAGAAGAGAATCTTATGTACTGATGGTTTTGACTAAGATTCTATGAAACTCCAACGTCACATAACGGATGTCGTCCTCCTAAGAAACACCGCGTATAATATCATATCATCGCTTTTGAGGATTGGCAGGCACGAACGCAGGAAGTGTTGGCGAGTCGCCTTGGTTTCAATGTCTGTAGCCTTCGTATTGCCACGAAGTTCAGATTATATCATCATCCCAAGCAGGAGCTACGGCCTTAGTGAGCAGTAAAACAAAATCATATGCTGACGTAAAATTTATGTTCTGCTGAACAAAGGCCTTGCCTTCACATTTGTTTGTTTCTTGGAGATCCGTTAGCTCTGCACCTCTTTCTTATTTACAAAGGGTCCAGTCAATCTCGTATCCGATCTTGGATTCATCTAGACAGTCAGTGGAGAGTGATGTTGCAGACTTTCACGTGTTCCTTGACCGAGATGCGAACATGGTCTAGTCTGACCAATCGAGTATTAGATTGAAATCTAGATCGTGTTGATTATTCGAGACCTCCCTCAATGTCGGAACATAACGGTTTTAGGTTGATCCCCTTAAGGGTCCGCACATGACAATTCTTCCTACGGGATCTCTGAATTCTCCTTGATATGTACCACCATGGAGTTATTTCCCCAATTCCCACGATCTCGAATTTAATTGAATTGTCTCCTAAAGGTTTAGGTCTTTGCGTGAGTACCTTCTCAAGCAATCTAGTGCCGCGTGGATTCTCAAGTCTCGGACTCGCTATTGACATCGAGCACGAATTCAGTCGTGTCTTACTGTCCACGTATACGTCAACCGCTTGCTTGAGACGTGAACAATAACGTATGACCCAGAATGAGACCGACTTCACGTATCAAGTTTGTTATCCTAACCTTACCTTCTGCTTCATTGAAGCCATTCTTCGACTTTCGCGTGCTGCTTTCATGCATGACCTATAACTAGGCATACCACACACGTGTAGCTCACACCCTTGGCCAGAGCTAGCTTGAGATGACCTGGCAGAGTTGGAGCCGCCCTACAATCGAGATCTGCGACCTGGGCGCACTCAATAATTCCTTGCACCATAGGAGTGGTTGAATAAGTTTCCAATTTTAAGAGAATTCCCGCTA